TATGATATATGATATATAATACTCTATTCCAAATAAAATCTCTGTTGAGTTACAATATCCTCTGTCCTAGCAATTTCGCTCAGTGTATTGTGCATTTTGCAATTCGTAATTGAATTTTGGGTATTTATGAAGTCTGATTGCATTCGCAGGTAGTTGCCACGGGCATGTTTTATGGCCCGGATGCATATTTCACGTCCGGCTGGAATATAATGGATGGATCTTTGGTTACAATTTCGATAATTGATTTGTTAATGTCATTGATTAGCGAGTCGAGCCCGAGGATATTTGGGATTTTAAGGGTAAGTTTGTAGGTGGGCCGGCGTGGCAAATCTAAAAACGTGGCATTGAAATGCCATCAGCGACTGCTACATGCCACATGCCACTTGCCACTTGCCACTTGCCACATGCCACATGCAGCATGCAACTGAATGCAGCGCCCAACAAATGTGCGAGCCACTAATTCAACAACTCGAACCACGCACCACGCAAAATATTAAAAAAATGAAAAAAAAAAACAAGTTCAAATGCGGAATCATAAAAAAAAAAAAGAAAATCTAGAAAAGCTCTAGCAATTGCTCGCTCGCTCGCTCGCTCGTTCGCCCGCTCTCTCGCTCTTGCTCTCTTTCTATCTCTCTATCTTTCTCTCTTTAGCTAACTATGTTTCTTACATTGCTATCGCTATCTCTGTCTAACGCACACATCTTTCGTCTCGTCTCGCCGTAAAGTGCACACAAATCTTCTATCTCAACAACTCTATTCTATCATTCTCTGAAACTTTATCTCTTTCTATCTGTCTATCTCATTCTCTCTCTCTCTCTCTCTAAATATATATATATATACCTCTGTATTTATATATATCTATGTCTCTATTGTATTTGAATTGGGTATTCGTATCTTAATCTTAACATTAATCAAAAAACAAAACCAATCTGCAGGTAAATTCTCGCTGCTATATCATTTAATGGCAAATCCAATATCTAAAACATTAATCCAATTTATTTGTCTTTGTGTGTGTGTGTGTGTATGTAGAGTCCCCCAAGAACTGTTAATACCCATTCCAAATATGTTAAACGTTGGCCTCACTTTCATGCTATAACTCGTTGTATATGTAAATAGATCTATATTTCATTACGATACGAATTGCATTGCTCTACAACTTTGTCATGCCTCAGCCCCGCACAACTTTCGCTTATAAATTCTACATAGCCTCACATTATGTACGTTTACTTATCGGAGCTGTAAAGTCAATTACAGTCGGCCCTCAAACTGGCTAGGAGGATTATACGAATCTATTGGCTTCTGGAACAACTTTGAAACCCTTTTATATTATCTATTATAATCTAGAATAGAGTTTACGGCTCCGATATTTGCGAACTATCACTGTCATTAACTAAATTTGCTTTTAGTATTACTTTGACATGCATTGCAATCACTGTTCTATTCCCATTTGTTTCATTCTTTTCAGCACATATTTCAATTAAATCCCTTGGCAGTTATAGCCTCATATCTCCCATAAGAAATGCCATAGTTCCGTTTCTATTTGTTCCATATCATTGTTTTTAGTCCAAAACTCCATACTCCTCTAGGCTATTATCGCCCTATTATTACCTTTTAATCGTTTTGTTGGAATACTCCAATTTCTTGTGTTTCCAGTTTCTAAGCGTGTTATATAATTGTTTATAGCCCGATTAATATCGCCCTCCATGGCTATCGGCTAATTATAATCAATATCACTTCACATTTATATATCCAATTCCACTCGTTTCATTTTGCACTCCTTTCATATTCAGGCTTAAACTTGACCATTATCATTCCATTATATTTTTCTCGCATTTCATTGTCATCCGTTCCAATCGCTTTTTCCCAATTCCATTCGTTCCTGACCAAAAATCACAGTTATACATCACATTGTTGTTTCAGCTTTTAAATTGCACATATGTACATACAGCTTACAGTACTTTTGTCCCGATCATGTTCCATTTCCACTCATTCCATGCCATTGTTCCGCAAATGTCATTGTCATAACCTAGCCTTTTGCTGTGCAAACCACTGTTCTTTGGAATACCTAGTCGTTTGATTGCTAGAGTGTTCCAAATTCCATTCGTTTCCCTTCAATATATATGTATATATTCCCCTGTAAAGCTCCAGTAGCTAAAGTCTATGCTAGCATACAAGTGTTCCATTATCATGTTGCTTTGCCTTGTTCAGTTCTTTTGTGTTGTTCCCATTCCACTCGTTTCAGTTGCTATGACCGCTTCACGAAGTGATGCGCCAACGATTCGTTGTACTTCAACGAAATCCGAAAAGAGATTAACTGCAATCGAACTAATACTGATCCAATGCATGTTCCAAACCCAATTGTTGTTCGCAGGTGTTTCGTCTACTTCGTTCCCTACGGCCGCTGCGTGTGATCAACCGAGCGCCGGGTCTGAAACTAGTCGTTCAAACGCTCTTATCATCCCTGCGTCCCATCGGGAACATCGTGCTGATCTGTTGCACCTTCTTCATCATCTTTGGCATCCTCGGCGTCCAGCTGTTCAAGGGCACCTTCTTCTACTGCGAGGGCGAGAACATTAAGAACGTACGAAACGCCGACGAGTGCCGTCGCATACCGGGCAACGTCTGGACGAATCGCAAATACAATTTCGATGACCTCGGCAAGGCGCTGATGTCCCTCTTCGTGCTCAGCTCCCGCGACGGCTGGGTGAACATCATGTACACGGGCCTCGATGCCGTCGGCGTCGACCAACAGCCGATCGTCAACTACAACGAGTGGCGGCTACTGTACTTCATAGCGTTCATATTGCTGGTCGGCTTCTTTGTGCTGAACATGTTTGTGGGCGTGGTGGTGGAGAACTTCCACCGTTGCCGCGAAGAGCAAGAGAAGGAGGAGAAGATCCGGCGAGCCGCCAAGCGAGCGCTCCAAATGGAAAAGAAGCGCCGGCGCATGCACGAGCCGCCCTACTACACCAACTACTCGCCCACCCGAATGTTCGTGCACAACGTGGTCACATCGAAGTACTTCGACCTGGCCATAGCCGCCGTCATCGGGCTGAATGTGGTTACGATGGCCATGGAGTACTACAAGATGCCCATTCCGCTGCAATACGCGCTGAAGATCTTCAACTACTTCTTCACGGCCGTCTTCATACTGGAGGCGAACATGAAGCTGGTGGCACTGGGCTGGCGGCTGTACCTGAAGGATCGCTGGAATCAGCTGGACGTGGGCATTGTTCTGCTCTCGATCGTGGGCATTGTCCTCGAGGAGCTGGAGACGAACATCATCCCCATTAACCCGACGATAATACGCGTGATGCGCGTGCTGCGCATCGCCCGCGTCCTCAAGCTACTGAAGATGGCGAAGGGCATACGAGCACTACTGGACACCGTCATGCAGGCCCTGCCCCAGGTGGGCAACTTGGGGCTGCTCTTCTTCCTGCTGTTCTTCATATTTGCGGCGCTGGGCGTGGAGCTGTTTGGCCGGCTCGAGTGCTCCGACGAGATACCCTGCCAGGGACTTGGCGAGCATGCGCACTTCGCCAACTTTGGCATGGCTTTCCTCACATTGTTTCGCGTAGCGACTGGCGACAACTGGAACGGCATCATGAAGGACACGCTGAGGGATAACTGCGATGACGCCGCCGATTGCGTGCGCAATTGCTGCGTCAGCTCATTTATTGCTCCCATATTCTTTGTGATATTCGTTCTTATGGCGCAATTCGTTTTAGTGAACGTCGTCGTGGCTGTTTTGATGAAACATCTCGAGGAGAGCCACAAGCAAATGGAAGACGAGCTCGACATGGAGGTGGAGCTGGAGCGCGAGCTGGTGCGCGAACAGGAGTTTGCCCAGGAGCAAAAACTGTGCCAGCAGCTGGCGGAGGCGCAGGCCAAGCTGCCCGCACCGCCCAGACCCCTGGCCAAGGTCAAATCCCTGCCCAAGAACTTCATCTACAGCACACCCTCCCTGGACAAGAAGTTCCCGAGCGTCAGTCTCACTGGCAGCACCGCCAACAACATTGCCGCCGGCGCTGGCCAGCGGCGTCAGACCGTGCAATACTTCAACCAGCAGCAGCAACAGCAACACCTGCAACAGCAGCAGCAGCACCAGCAGCAGCTGCAGCAGCAGCAGCCACATCAACAGCAACAGCGACAGCAGCACCATCTGAGCCTGGCTGAGATGGGCAGCGCGCTGACGCCTCAGAGCTTGAGCGCACGGTTGGGGGAGCCCTTCGGCGGCGCTATGACGGCAGCTGGAAGCGGTCCGGGCTCCGAGCTGCTGGGCTTGCAGCTGCCGCCATTGGGCCGCCGCGGGCGACGCGCCTCCGCCGCCGCCGGGTTCCGTAAGCGCGGCGTGCTGTCCAAGGAGCGATCGCTCGACGAGCAGGCCATCAGGCGACGCAACCTGGAGGCGAAGCGCACCAGTTGCGACTCGTTGCCTTGGGGCGGCGATGCGCTCGACTATAGGCGTGGCACCATCTTCGAGAGCCTCGAATCGGATCCCGCCTCCAGCTATGACCTGGACGTGCGCAGCATACGCAGCGCTGATGTCCCCAGGCCGCGCGACGACGACGAGTCGCTGGAGCCGCTGGCTGTGGTCAGTGCTCTAGTCCAGCCAACGGCAACGCCATCGTCGCCCCCCATAACAACAGCCACGCCCACGCCCACGCCCACGCCCTCGCCAACGCCAACATCAACGTCTATGCCCCAGCCCCAGTCCCAGCCCCAGTCACAGTCACAGCCACAACAGCAGCATCCGCGTCGACCCTTTGGCTGGTCACAGTCGGTGGATCAGGGCTGCCTGCTGGGCCCCGGCGGACGCAGCAGCTTGCTGCTCTCGGTGCCACGTTCGATGCCCCCTCGCAGTCGCAGCGGCAGCACGAAGCAGCTCTTCAAGCAGCAGGCGCTCGATGAGGACGCCGACATGGATGAGAACTCGCTGCTGTTGCCCGCCACGCATCTGGCAGCAACTGTTGCTCCCAGCTCGGAGCACCCAACGGCAACAGCAACAGCAGCGGCAGCGGCAGCGGCAGCAGCAGCGAGCGACGTTGACGGCGACAGCGATGCCGTCGACGTCAGCAGCGCAGCGGGCCTAAGCAAATCCGATTCAGCGGACATCATGCGCATCATCAGCGAGCGCAGACGCATGGATCAGCGGGATCAGTGCGGGAACGAGGACAGCGACTACAATGAGCTGCTCCTGGTCAAGTCGCCGCAATCCTCAACGGACTAAGCCCTCGGGAGAGAGAGAGAAAGAGAGAGAGGTGTCTCTGTCGCTCTCTTGCAGTCTCTCCCTCCTCTCTCTGTCTGTCACTCTGTCATCCAATCATCATAACTTGAAGCAGGCTTACTATAAGTAGTTTTAAGCACTATCGATAAACGATAACACGACAACACAAAGCTCGCCTGTTAGCATAAGCATACTATAGCCATATCCCCCCACCTCACACACATTCTCTCCGTCACTCAACCGCACACAGGCTTGCTGAGAGTGTGTTTTATGCGCATTTTGGTGTTATCGATAAACGATAACGAAATATCAAGAGGCAAGCCTGTACACCTGTTATATACTTATGTTTATCTCACTCGATCACGCACTCCTATTGTAGAGAGACACACACACACAAATTATGGAGGGCTCYAATGAAACTTCAATAATCGATAACACAGGGCTGATTTTGTACAGCTTTCTCAATCTCACCAAAAGAGCATTTCATGTGCATTTAGGCATTATCCATACATCGATAGGACAAGTAACCCAATCAGTGTCCATTGCTCTTTCTTTTTCTAAATTTCACATTATCGTTAAATCGATAAATCGATAACACATAGCAAGTCTGTGCTAGTAGCTGCTCTCCCTCTCTCACAGGCTCTCGCTAATGTACAGGCTTGCTAGCAGAGAGTTCCATGCGCATTTAAGTATTTTCGATAAATCGATAACACATTGATAGTATAAACAGAAGCAAGCCTGTTAGCATACACTCTCTACCCCACACTTACTTTCGTAACTATAACTTTAGGGAATTTTCCAAGTGGTCAGTTTGAAGATGGCAAAAAAAAAATCGAAAAAAAGAAGAAAGAAAAGAAGAAAAAGAAACTAAAACGTTAGCTTTTAGCCAATTACGATTAACGATTAACGATAAACATTACTCACTAGCGTTTAGGTGTTTAACTGTAACTATAACTGTAACTGTAACTATACAAATTAACTATAACGATAACGATTACAATTACGATAACTACTCATCGAGCGTTCTCTACAAAAACAAAGCAAAGCAAAACAACAAATGGTCAACTGTTTTTAGTGCAATCTACGGTTTTCATAAGTTTAGCGAAAACAAAACAAAATTTTAAAAGAAAAAATACTACAAATATACTTAAAAAGATGAAAATACTAAACAAAAATCAATCGTTGCTTAGAGCGTTTTCCGTTTCAACCACAAAATGGATGAAAAAATAAGAAAAACCAAAAGCTGATTTATGATGATTATATAGAACTAAATGTATGTATATATATACACATATATA